TTGCAGTAACGGATTCTGGAACCAAGTAATCAACTGAATGACCAAGAAAAGTGTTAGACAGTGACCTCTTCTTTTATCATTGAAAACCTTTTTATATCTTTGGGAAAAGCTACGAAAATGATATAATAAATGACACATTTGTCATAATAATTCGAATACTTTTTTTTATTCAAAAAATAAATTTTTATTTGAACAACTGTAGTTAGCGTTTAATCGACGTCAATTGATTGTAAATAATAAGAGTTAGAATCGATTTTATAAACTTTCTTCCAGTTTATAAAGCATCGACTTAGTTTAGATGTATGTATTATTATTTTTTTCGCTCAATGGTTTTTGCACACCGTTAATTTATCGATACACGCCCAAAATTAAAAAAAAATACGTCTTATTTGGTATACTTCTGAGAGAATTTAAAGCATGGTTATAAATCAAATCATGTACATATTGTTCAGTTCAGTACTTAAGCCAGATGGCACACAATAATATTTAAATATAAAATGAATTACACAAAATGAGCATCATTGATTTGGAAAATAATTATGTGTTCGTTAATTTCATAGAAAAAATTCAAAATACAAAAAAAGCGATTTATATAATAATGTTCTTTTAAATTTCAATTCTATCCTTGGATTTCTTCTCAAAATAAGAATGGTTCGTTGGGGACTCTGGTCTGCATCACACGACGCTGTTGATCAATTCGTTTATTGGCATCGTATTCCGTTGATTTTTTGTAAATCTCTCTTCCTCGGACCATTCGATCCAATAAATCAGCATAGAAGCGTTTCCGTTGCGTTTTCATTACCGGGTTTGTTTTTTCATTTTTAATACTTCGTTTGTAGTTTACATTTGATGTTTCGAATGCTCCAAATGTTGGTGTTGACTCGTATTTCGATTCTGGTGTCGTATTTTGAGTACTGAATGATGAGTCAGTCATTGTTGATACATTTGATGTTTCGAATGATCCAAATGTTAATATTGATTCGTATTTTGATTTTAGAGCGGTACTTTGAGTGTTGAATGATGGGTCATTAATTGTTGTTGTTTCTCCTGGAAATAGACGAGCTAAAGCACGACGAGCTCCCAGTGCTTTGCGTTCCATAAACATTTCAAAGGTAACTTGTGGTGGTTTTGTCCAATCCTTTTCATTGAATGTCGATGGAGTTGTGCCGACTCGTTGCTTTGTTGGTTCGTCGTTTCCAATTTTACTGAATGACATTGCATCGAACGATACGGCCGATGATGAAATTGAGTTTGTGTCAAATATTCCACCACTGAAATCGGGAGTATTTAAGAGCATTCCGTCATCTTCACTGATGTTTGTTTTGAATGTGGATGGAATGGCGTTGCTGTCATTAGTTCTACTAATGTTGGTAAAATCCATCTTCATTATGTCTTCGGATGAGAAAAACGGTGTATTCACGGGTGTTTGTTGGTCCACTTCTATGAAATCATCTGAATTTTGGTGCTGACTTTCGATTGACGCTTCATTGTGGTTTATTTCTTCGGGCGAATTATTCCAAATGAAGTTCGATGCTGGTTGATTGTCAAATAGTAAACTAGTGGGAGCTGGCGAAAAGTTCATTATTTGATTTGTTTCTTTCAAATTACGATTTTTCGCGCGTTTTGCTTCGATCACATTTTTCGGTTGTCTTGGTGGTAACTTTACCGTATTTTGTGCAGCATTCTTTGTTGATTGTACGTTCTTTTCTTTGGATTCCATGACCGGGGGTATATTATGACCTTCACCCATGGGAATAATAGTCATTTTCCTGGGAGCACGTTTCGATTTATCTACCGGTTCGGCATCATCATGAAATACAACTTTGAAACTGATTGCTTTGGAGAGAATTCCGTATTTTGGCTTTGGTTTCAGTACTTTTTTCTTGTTTTGACGTTTGTAACCATTTTTCAACAAACCGAGAATATCGTTGTTGGCACGATCACAATTTTTTGCTACAAAGCGAGCTCTTATGTAATTCATGGTCGAAACTTGTTTACATTCGAACAAAATTCTATTCTTCAAATTAAATTCTGAATTGTTTAAGAAGCGTCCACTTGTTGTGTATGTTTGTTTAGCAACTACGATACGAATGACGGGTATGGCATTGTGTAAGAAAATGTGAAAGCAGCTCACAATCGACTTTTGAATGAGGCAACACTTGTACAACATTATACTCACCGTGAGTAAGTATCAAACGGAAGTAAGAATGGGAATGTTTTGGAGAAAACGAAAATGAATTTTGTTTACAATACATTTGAATCGGATTTAATTGGACAATTTAATTTTTTGAATGACAATTTTTTCCATGAATGGACTTTCGCCGACATGTGAATAGGTCGTTTTAGTGGTTGTCTTTCGTGTCGCCTGCTTTTTCTCATTCGATAACTTGAATTCAACGACATCTCTTTCATAATGATGCTTCACTATCAAATGTCGTGGCAAATCATTCGATTTTTGTTTGGCTTTTTGTGCAGAACTTTTGGAATTGTTGGAATCGAATGGAAATGGATGTTTGCGAAGTACTTTGTTTTGTGATGCGAAGATTGTTGGCACAACTGGAAAATCGTTTGGGTGATTCTTTAACTTGCGTATTTTTTCACTGATTGAAGTGCGTTTTCGTAATGAAAATTGATCAATTTGCTTCGGTTTTTGCGGCGAAGGTAGATTATTGAATTTACGAAAAGGTTCTTTGTATCCTGGACGTGATGGAAAAGCGCTATAAAGACCTTTCCCTTTTTGGTCCTTTTTGAGTGACTTTTTTAGTAGTTTTTCGATCAATCGTTCTTCAACCTGTCGAATCAATGGTTTTCGTTTCCTAAACATGTCAGTGGTGACTTTCGATGGATCCGAAGAATTTTTATTGGATGTATGGCGTTCAGAAAATTCAATTTTCTTTTTGATCGTTGCTGTGTCTTCGGCTGTATCGACAAATATTTGTTGGCTCTCGGATTGTTGTGCAGTGCACTGACGGTTCTGGAATGCTTCATTTTGACTCAATTCCGCTGAAAAAATTAACTTTGGCACTGCTGGTTGATTGTCCAAACAATCAGACAGCAGTAAACTGTTGTGGTCTAACGAAAAATTCGCTATTTGACTTTTGTCCGTCAAATTGCGACTTTTCACTCGGTCGGTTTCGATCACTTTTTTCGGTTGATTGAATAATTTTGGCGGGGGATGTACGGCATTTTGAACTGGTAGATCAGTGGCATTCTCTGCTGATATCAATTCCTTTTCTTTGGATTCTATGATCGAATGGATGTGGTTCGATTAAAATAATATTTTTTTTGTTGATTAAAATAATAGTCATTTGCAATTTACTTTCGATTTCCGGATCATCATTATCATCGGTTTTCAAAGTGATTGTGGAGAACCTACCAATTTTTCGATTTGGCAGCGGAGCTTGTTTCCTTTTATGACGACGTTTACCTCTTTTCAACAAACCGAAAAATTTCATTGATTTGATATCGCGGACTTCATTTGTAATTGTAGCGTCGATGGAATGCATGATGCAAATAAGATAATAATCACTCGTTTACCTCTCTTTTTTTAAAAATTGAATCAACAGCTGTTCAATTGTTATGAAAACTGCGCCATTCGTGTTGACAGCGCTTGTGTTGAGATATATGTGCAACAACACTTTGTTAAATGTATCCAAGAGTATGGCAATACATTCAACTATGTTCAATGTGAGCAAATGGATAAAATTCCAACGATTGGAAACGCTGTCATCTACGCTAAAACATACTTTTGGTTGAAAATAAAACGCCATCATATTCCGACATTGAAAAATTCTAAAACGGATTTCATTTCGTAGGATCGAAGAATCATTCTTTATTAATGATTTACCATGGACTTTTGAAGAACTTTGAACTTAAACCATTTTTCCTACATGCATGTGTTGTTAAGTTGTTTTAACGTGACACTTGAAGTTAAGAGACACTTTTTCACAATTTCGCCATTTCTAGTCCTATCCAAAGAATAAATTCCAAAAACCGAAAGCTTTGCCATCAAACGATTTCCCGATATGGAGACGACTTCTGTCCGGCCTTAAAAAAGAACACATGGCTATAGCTTAAGTTTGCACGAACAAGTGCGATGGGCTGAGATGTATGATCAATCAAAAAGCGAAGAAAGTCGATTACACGCTGAATTGGATGCCCTTCAAGAAAAATACAATAAATTATTAAGCATTGGTCGCTAGTATGAATCTTCCAAACGTTTCTGCTCCCAAAAAATATGCGTCTACACAAACTAAATCATATGGTGTTAGTGCCGCTACTCAAACCCATTCGACAACCCCAAAGAAGGGACATGATGAGTCAACTCAAACTTCACCCGAAGCTAAGAGTGGCCATGAGAAAGTGACGGTTAAACAAAAAATGGATTAAAATTCAAGAAAATGTCAGCAAATTTATCGAAGAACTAGTTTCCAAACTAAGTGCCTAGAGTCCACATTTAAAACCAAAACATGCATGTATGACTCCAAATAAAATACTGTTTTCACAAAGTATGCTTTGAATTAATTTTGCCGTTTCTTATGTTTCATTTATAAATTGGCAACCTTTGGAATTAGTGGCGAGAAAAAATTATAGCATCGAAATAATAAAATTGTTTTCTCTTACGAAATATATACAATAACCGTTAAAATATTTAAGAAAATTGAACGTTAAAGAGTATCTCAAGAGCATCATTCTCACCATGAAAGTATTAGGCATAAGTGTTGTTGCAGTCGTTTTGGTAATTTTCGCTTTGATTTTTACTGGTGAAATGATTAAGATAATTCTTTTCAATTTAGATTGCACTGACCAGAGCAAGTGACACCACAAATGATAAAGAAAATAAAATTAAAGCAACAGTTACTCAATTGGAATGTGCAACAAATGCCATTCTACCTATTGATCAGAAATATGAATTGGAAGATCTGTGGCAGTCTGTCTATTTTCCAATTTTGATGCACACCAGCCACATCTATGGATGCAAAGACCAAGGCAATAAGTAAGTCTCTGTTCGCATATTTCCAATATTTTATCAATAATCGAAATGCATTTTGTGTGGACGTACGCAGATGCGTCGACTCGGAAATGCAATCAGCGGTCGGTGTATTGATAAATATGTTGAACAAAATCGGACAGGTAAGTAGTGTTTGGAAACTTTCAATATTGCTGTGACTCCTATTCCAATATGGCAGATGTCTCTATTCCAATCAATTTAACTTTTCTGCATACACTTAGAATGACCCGGATGCTGCGCAAGATATTCACGACGCTCTTTCATCGCAATGTCAAATCGAGTTGCCTCCTTTACCCGAATATGCACCGATGGTGGGCGCCCCACAAGATTCGAATAGGATGACTAGTTTTTCCTCGTTCGCCACAAATTTTGAACACATTCTATGTGTCGTGAATGTCTTACATGATGAAATGAAAAAATATGAAGGTATCGCAGAATTGTCGCAGTATGTGATCGAATCGAAAGATGTAACGGAGAAGATTATGGAATGCAAAAAAGGCAACAAGGGATTTATTCAGATGAATGTGTATGTGTACCGTAATTGTAATTGTGATTTTTGATAATGTATTGAATCATCTGACTTTTTTTCAGATGTTTTGCAACGCACATAGGTACTGCAGTCAAATTGATTTTCAAATTGTGGGGAGCATTAAGTCAGGTAAGCAATGTAAACAATTTTTTGTCGAAAATAAGTGAAGTTGTTAGAAATGGGATGACTGACATATACACGTAAAATAAAAAAATCTTCTATTTGCAGCAACCGAAACAAGTAATTACACAAATAACGAGTGACATCGAAACCCAATGTGTAAAGGGAGTTTTCAGCTCAATGATATTTTATATTGTCACCACGGTTCTTATTTGTTCGATAATCGCATTAGTCATCTGGAAGATAAAGCCATGGGGAAATCATTCCGATAATAATGCAGAAGAATCTTTACCACATACTGAATGAAGTATTATAAATAAGTATACGAATAAAACGTCTTGGATAAAGTATAATCTATTTCTTGAGAAATGGAAATTGAAATTTCTTCAAACTCTCCGAAATTTATTTATTTTTTGTAAAAAAAATTACATTTGCAAATTATCATGCTATTGCGACATCATGCAGGCATAGTTCCAATTGTATTCCACAGTTTTTTTTGTGATTTTTGTATGAAAGAAGTTTCAAAAATAATGTTTATGGCAAAATTAACGTCAGACATATTTTTTACAACGCGTTTTGTTAGAAAATAGAATACTTTCAAATCTCATACAAATGGGTTCATCATGAAAGTGTGAAAAATCCTTTGCGAGTATTTCTGCTTGAAATATCGAACAAATATTATTTTGAAATAGCTTTGAAAAATACTCATCTACCACCGTGCGGAAGAGTTCGTCTTACTCCTGTAAGATTTTTTATTTTTTATCAATTTCATGCTCTTGTTTTTGTTGTTTTTGTTCTCATAGATCTATGTTCACTCGAGTGTAATATTATACACCCTATCAAAACAAAAACAACAAAAACAAAAGCATTTCAAAATACAACAAAATATTTCTTTATCTCTTGATATTCATAAGCTAGAAAATCTCCAAATGTAAAAAAAACAAACGCAACCAAAACGAACAGACTCGATGATAATAAAAGAGCAGCGTAAAAACATTTGGAGCCTTTTAACAAATAAACATAAATGATGATAAGATAGAGAACAATTACTGCACAATTAACAAAATATGGCTTTGCCCAATTTGATAAATGCATTCTGATATGCTTTGCCCACTCCGAAAGAGCATCTGATATGCATTGTCCAATTCAGTAAGAGCATCTGATGTGCAAATAACCAAACAAAGTTAGTTAAAAAGACGTACATGAATGATATGGAAAAAATGTCATTAATTGTGCAGTAATTGTTCTCTATCTTATCGTGTATGTTTATTTGTTAAAAGGTTCCAAATATTTTTACACAGTCAAAACAAGCATACTCGATGATAACAAATAACCGAACAAAGTTATGTAGTTAGAAAAGAGTCTTTTCAAAAGACGTACATATATAAATAAATACGAATGGCATGGAAAAATATTGTTAGTTGTGCAGTGATTGTCCTATAGCTCATACATTGTTCGTTAAAATGAAGACATTCAAGTATCTGTGTGGTATTCTTTTTTTACTATTGTACAGTGATTATAGCCACTTCGGATACGCATGATATTGAAAATCTACTTGGAAAATTAAACAACGTGGTGGACATCTACAATGAAGAATTAGATAAAAAAGTACCACGGACTGAGTTGAATGATGCCATTGAAGTACTCAACAAAATTCTACTCGATTACAAAGGCAATATGCGGAGAAAAATAGGTGAATTGAGATCGAAAAACGTTAAATCAAGAAATCATTAGGTATTTTCCGTCACGCCGCTATTAAGTTGATGTTATTTGGTTAAGTCAAGTGTACCGGGAGCGATTGGACATCTAAAGTTAGACCCATTGTTTCGCATCTTCAGCTAAATCAAACACAGGGATGGAGTGCATTTTAATATTGTTCAAAAAGCTTTGGTGAATGATTGTATAATTGAAGTGATTATCGTAGTTTGCATTCTTTTTATATTGCAATGGTTTAACAGCAGCTCGACGACTTTTATTGATCCGCATGGTTCCGCTCCAACTTCTTAATGAATGAGTTAATGTCTTCGATCTGTAATAAACAAAAGGTAAGATTACATTATTGAGATGATAATTATTTTTTCTCTAAACATTGAGATGTATGGATCGCAGTTGCCCACTCGTTCATATCATCGTTTTCAACTGCCAAAGCATCCTCGACATTTACCGCTTCTCGTAATTCTGTCATTGTAGATGTCCACCACGTTGTTTAATTTTCCAAGTAGATTTTCAATATCATGCGTATCCGAAGTGGCTATAATCACTGCACAATAGTAAAAAAAGAATACCACACAGATACTTGAATGTCTTCATTTTGACGAACAAGGTATGAGCTATAGGACAATCACTGCACAACTAAAGACATTCTTCCATGCTGAATTTTTTCATAACTGAACTATTATCATTATTCAAATCAAATGAAATAAAAACACCATTATATTGAGATAGCAAAATAAATTATAAATAAATAGTAAATTATTTTGCTATTTCAATATAATGGTGTTTTTATTTCATTTGATTTGATTAATTAGAGTCATTTCATGTACATAATTTTCAATTTATTATCATTATCTTTATTTTTATTTTATTTTCTGATTTTATTATTGTTTTGTTTTACTTTCGATTAATTTAAAAATATTTAAATGACCTTTTTTAATAATGTATTTTGTTATTTTATCAATGTACTTTCTTTATATATAAAGCCAATAAAGTTCTTTAGAAAATAAGTTAAATTCTGTTCTTCTGAATAATAAAGACGATTTTTAAAAATCAAATATTCTTTCAATTACGAATACTTTTAACATGTCAGAATCAATTTTCTCGTAAATTCAAATTTAAGTAAATATATGTAATAAATGCATGTTATGGATCACAGTGCGGAAAAGTTCGTCTTACGGATGTAAGACATTTTATTTTTCTAAGTAAGCATTTTCTTTTGTAGAGTATACATTTCGGCGTATGGCTTTTGAAAAAATGTTTTTTTTTCTTTTCAGAAAATTTTGTTGTAATTGGTCTTTATTAATAGGAAAATTTTGATGAATACTACTCAATTTTTTGTAGTTTTTTCTACAATTTTATTTAAACTTTGTTTGAACAGTTACCAAAACACTTTTTTTTTCTTCAATGAAATGAAACCGGAATTCAACTGCACAACTTTCCATTTGCCGTTCCATAATTAATTTTCAAGTGTGGCTCTATAAATAAATCGTCGATGATCTGCGTGATACACCTTAATGCCCGGTCTATGTACCAAAAATGCATTGTCCAATATGTGAAACTCGTAATCAAGATAGCACATAATACGGCTCTAAAATCAAAATAAAAAATAATTCCTTTTTACAAACAAATGTTCCAAAAGGTCCTGCTCAAACCTGAGTCATTTTCTCCATTTTTCCATCCCAACTCAGTCGTTCATCATAATATGGTTTATTGTTCGTTCCGATATAGATCGGTTCCCAAAAATGAAATTTACCTTTTCTTTTGCCAACGGAAACACATTTATAAGACCTTATAAATTAAAATCGGTTATTTCATTCTGAATTTAAAAAAAAAATCCAGTATTTAAGGGATAGAGAGCTATTATACTGACTGGACCCGACCATCTGAACAGACAGATATACAATATGTGTTACTGAGGGAACTAGATTTAAATTTGACAAACTCAAGACAATTGCTTTAAAAATTAGTCGATCCACATTTTTTTCACAATAAGGTCGAGTAAGGTTTATACGAAGGTACCTTTCCAGAACCGGTATCAAATTATCTAAAAACAAAAAATCTCCATGAGTGAGCGAATCTAATTCTGTAGTATCCAAAAGTCACCTCTTTGATAATTTTTTGGTTCGAAACTTTTCTCTTTACATTTCGTAATTTCTCTAAAAAAATGGTTATTTTCAATGCAAATTTCGATGCGCATAAAATTCTAATCGATAGTACCGAACTTTTATCTCTAATGAGTTGTCTTGCCACATTGGTTTTTCAGAACAATTGATTTGCTTTCCAATATTTTCCCCAAGAGCTATTCCATCAATTGCTTCTGTCAATTCGTTTGAAGAATCATAGTCTTCGAGTGATGATTGCTGAAAAGAGTTTGAGTTTTCCTGACACATTTCCATTTGAAAAACAAAAAAAATCACTGTGACATTTACTTCAGGCATACCGTTCTTTTTAGCAGCAATTTTAAAACTAGATATTGACGTATGGTCATTTCCATCACATCGTCCGGTGTTCGTAAATATTTTTTCTCTTTTTGCGGCATTTTCGAATTGTTTAACTTTAAAAATTCGAATGAAGTTAGCGGAAATGATAATGAAAGTGAATATTAATAATATTCGTGGTATTGAATATCGACGTAACAGTGAATTGTGCTGCATTATTGAATTCGATTGCAAAAACAAAACGTTTGCCTTCATTGCTCACTGCATTGATACTGTTGTTGAAAGCTGTCAACAATGTTTATATTTTAAGCCGACAAAAATAGTGAAATACGTATAATTATAAACACAGTAACCTTATCTATTTGAAAGTAATTTCAGTCTATTTGTTATAAAATTTGTAAAAAAAATTGTGCGAAATTAGACCACTTTGTTCACATTGTTTGCTTTTTAACGAAAACACAAATATATTGTAAGCTGGAAACAAAAAACGGTCAAGATAATTGGCGGCGACATGTTTACATGCGACAAAAATTACATATATCATTCCAGAATAAAAGATAAGTCATTTAAAAGATCGATTGCCTTTATGATGCATTGTAGTCATCGCACCGTAATCGAAGAATTTTCAATAAAATGTAAGGAACACATGACCCTCAGTACAAAAAGTCTGAAAACAGTGAATCTATCATTGAATGAATTCTAGCTGTCGTTGAATTTTTTACACATAAGTGATCATTCATAGAAATGTATTAAAATTGAATTAAAAATAGAACACCAAATCTATTTAAAATCAGTTTCATGTTTATTAAAACGATATTTCTTCACTGTCTGTTTCTCTATTGTTTGCCAACCGTTTGTAAACAGAGGAAGTACGTAGGCGACTATTTAAGTTTCTTCAATATGTATGTTTTAGTATTGCCCGATGCAAACCATTGTCATATTCGTGAAGTTGGACATTTTTCATGACCATTTGACTTAACAGGACGAATTTTAGTTTTGTGGTATGGCTACGACAGCAGCTTAAACATGACACTCCAAAAAGTGCACTTTTTTGAATATGCACCTAATTTCAAGTACGAAAAATATATTGTATCCAACTGATTTTGGTCTCTGGTGGACAGAGGGGTCCCGAATAATTCGTACACGGAGTATTGTGCATCAATTCGATCTTTTGGGTGGTCAAATAGTCGACTGTTTGATGGGCTTCTTTTTGCCATGTTTTGGGATTATAAGTTTCAGAGTTTTGGTCTCCATATTCCCGTGATGACTTTTGACAATCAAATGGTTGTGTACTATTCAGCATTGAAGGACCTTTCATCCTCTAAAGGCATGGTAGCAACATGACACATAACACTGTAAAATAATGAGGTCCGATTTTCCCTATCACTTCACAAACGAACAAGTTTTGTTCGATTGTGTTCATGTTTGAAGACTCAGAGAGTCAACCAAGTTTTTGTTTCAGGTCCAAACTACTGGAATCATGTCTTGGCTTCTATTGCGATCGTATAGACGTGTTTTTATTATCCTATGTCAAATTGGTTATGATTTTTTGGATGTGATTAAAATCAATCGATTTTTGAGCAACTGTGGGTTGACACGTAAAGATTTATTTTTTTCATGTTGTAATTCATGGAAGAACCAAATGATTGGAGTCTCTGTGATCCTTGGGCATACCACAATTTAACTGTAAAAGAAACTTCGATCCTAACTCAATCGGCACCAGAGTTTTTCTCGATGACATCAATTTTCGAAGGACCATCGCGCAATTGATCACTGTAGCGAGCACCATGACGATGGGATTCAGTGAACCAGTTGTATACAGTGGCAAGGCATGGTACTTCCTTCCCATACCCCGACTTGAGTCGGAAGTAGTACTGTTGAGCAGGCAGCTCTTTTTGAAAACTTATGAGAAATAATCTTTTTTGTAAATTTCATTTTTTTGCGAAGTTGACCTTTTCCAACTGACACCGTAGCCATACCACAAAACTAAAATTCGTCCTGTTAAGTCAAATGGTCATGAAAAATGTCCAACTTTACGAATATGACAATGGTTTGCATCGGGCAATACTAAAACATACATATTGAAGAAACTTAAATAGTCGCCCTCGTACAACATCAAATGATCTATAAAAATGATGTGCTCATTTTGTCTGCTTCAAATCATTTGTTCCGAATAAGAAGGCATTGCAACATGGTAGCTGATAACGCCAGGCCCCCATACATGTGGATATAATTCGTATCTTATGTGGATTAACCAATTTTTTTAAAAAATGTTCTACGTGCCGAATGACAGCAACATTTCTTTCAACATATACTTGACTTTTATGTAAGTTATTACTTCAGACTTATATCATATGATTTTGTGATAAAATCTGGACCCCTTTCGTATAAATTCAAGTGAAAATGGCATTTATTAATCAGTTAAGTTGAAATCTACCCATTAGAAGAATATACCTAGTATATCTCTGTTTTCTGAAACGAAAGAGCACTTGAATCAAAATGCAGAGCATTATTTTCATCGTTAGTTGTTTGGCAATTGTTGGCGTCTCAGCAGGTCAACCAGTCGAATCATCTGATGGCATCGATGCGAGAGCTCTCAAATTCGGACCAACGACGGGTAGAAAGGGTATCGCTGCAAAAGTTCAATGTGTAACAGACACCATAGACGGAGTCGTCAATGAATACCAGTGCCAACCAGTGTGGCGTAACGTTGAACAACAGCTTCAAACAAGCATTGGCAATTTATTTTTGTGTCTCAAGTATCAAGGTTTTCAAGTTCAAACGTAAGTTGTTGTTTTTGAGTAAAACAAAAAGTGAAAAATTACCAAATCCAATGAAAAATATTTATCTTTTTGTAATTTCTTGTGCGTGTAGATGCGTCGCCAGAGAAGTGTTCAATACTGGACTTTCCATGAACAATCTCCTGACCAAATTGGATTCGGTAAGAAAATTATACAGAATAAGTCGTTTTATTCACTAATTGGAGACAATTTTGTGTGAATTCATTGAGTATTCAAGATTATTTAATCGAAAATTGTGTTTTCACAGGATTATCCTGAAGCTGGTAAACAAGTGCGTCTTCGTATCACTCGAAATTGCTCCGATTAAAATTCTATGGTTGATTTATTTTTTAGTTTTTAATTGATAACACACCGAATATACCGAACCATGGTTGCAACCATTCCTGTCAATTTTAAGATTGTTTGATAGTTTTACGAAATATTACACATGTGATATATTCTCTAGTATATTCTTCAGTAAATAAAAAACTGACAAAAATCCAATCAAAATCTTTTTTATTATTGATGATGAAGGTTCAAAAACTATTGCCTGATGCTTGATAAACTTTTGGGCAATTTATGCTCGCAATAACATCATAAGCGGTCTTTTTTCTTCGTTTTCGAATAATTTGACTGGCTGAATATTTGTTCCAAACATGAACTAACACCGAGTTCCGTGTGAGTCTTAGTGTTTCTTGTGTTGCATTTGGATTAAAAAACATTTGCCATTGTTTCGATTTGATGGCATAAAAAGTGTTTTGTGGAAGTACATTGAATCTCAAACATTTTTCGGGTGTCATATCGGATGTAAGCTGTGCTTGACATATTTTTTTCAAAACCCTCGTCAAAATTCCTGGCCCATTGTGAGCCCATTTAAAACCGTTGAAGCTTGATGAAAATTCTCTGAAATTCAAATAAAACACTATTTGATTGAATTTCTTTATCCAAATCTTTCATTGTAAATCAATGCCCAAACACAATTCTTACTTAACACACAGCTCTGCAATTGCATGTCCGATTCCGTTCGGTTGAAAGCCCATAGCTCCAACTGCTACGAATCGAACACTTTCAGCAGCGGCAAAATTCGATGGTAATTCATTAAAATTACGTTGAACTACAACATCCAAATCCAAATAAATTCCACCGAACTTGAACATCGATGCGTATCGCAGAAAGTCCGAAGTGTGCGAATTGAGATATTGAGAAAGAAACAGTTGATCGTTTTGAAACCAATGTTCCATTGGCGTTTGAATTGAATACCGTGTCAAATCCACATTTCGAAAATAGATATTCGGATAGGCATTTAGAGCTGCTATGATGGGTGATACAGAACTATTCAACGAATATCCAACTTTTGAAGTAAATGTAACGAGAATCGTGCGGTTTGGATTCCATTTGGCTGCAGATTCAATGGCGCAAGCCTGTCTGTGAAGACATTCGAATGAATAACTTTGTTTGAATGCATTTTTCTCTGCAATTTGATGAACTTTTATACAAATACCTGGTTAATCATTTAATTTATTGAAATTTATTCTAGAATTTATTACCTGGCATTCAATTGAATGATGCCATTTTGAATGCACGAAGTTTCATGAAAAAATATCACATTGCCGGGTTTCCATTGAGTTTCCAATACATCCTCCAAAATGTGTAAATTTGAAACGATTTCATCATTTCTCGGCTGAAAACACTTTTTTGACTCGTTAATTCGCATGGTCTCTTCTAAACTATGGTGTTTCAGAGCCATTGGTTGTGGTTTTGGTATTTTATAAGAACTTTCAAGCCAAATAGACACACCAAGTAACATAATTGTACACAAACAAATACCGAATATCAGAAAATGAAATTGAATAACAAACAACTTGCGAAATGATTTGGTATTCATCTGCATCAACATTTTGAAATGTACTGAATATTTCACAGCCAGTAATTGAAAACTGCTTCAAATCAGTGTAGAAAAAATTTAACTATCAATTCGTGAAAGCAAAACTAACTCAAGTACTTCAAATGTGGACCAAACTCAATCAAACCAAAATCAGAATGAATTACATTTAGAGCTGGTGCTCATCCAATCTAACACAAATCTGTTGAACTATCCTTGATTTGGAAAAAAATTAATTCGACCATTCAATTTTATTTGCATTAACTAAACGCAACTAAAACCATTAAACGTATTTTCATCCATTCAACTAATTTCGGTTGAGCTTAATAGTCGTGCTATTATATCTTAATTTGCCATATAATCGCAGACTGAATGAACAAATTTTGTACAGCAAAAATGGTTTTGGGATGACATCAATTTTTTTTATCTAATACAATACATTTTTAACGCAGTGCGTTTAAGTAATAATCGATGCTTCTTCACTAGTGAGTGGCTTTAATCATTTGTACGAATTATGAAAACATCAACAAAAAAACAAGTTTAATTTTATCAGTTTTTGTTTATTACATCACATGTTTGACATTCATCCGATAATCGGATTTCGAATCAGTGAATTAAATTCACAATGAATAATTGTCCATAATGATCTCAAAAAAACACAATAGAAAAATAGTAGTCATAAAAATTATAACAATAGATTTTGAATTTTTGCTCTTTTCTCTCGGTATATATCACTATCAAATTCATGCTCACAATGTCAATAAACAATCGTGTCACTTTCATCTATGATAAAATTCTATTTTTAGATTGTATATCACGGGGGACGGCAGTCCCCCAAGTGACGCAATACCCACATACATATGAAATATGTATATTTTGCGTCACTCTATATATACGTTTAAGACATGAAAATCTAGACCGCTGACTTTTGGAAAGGGGTTTTTACATATTTTAGTAGTGCTCGGGCACCAAAATAAGAATCCGCAAAAAAATTTAAAAAAATTCAAAATTTGGCCGCCAGGTGGCATTTTGAAAGAATCGCTGAAAATTCCTTTTTCTCAATTTTTGACCACCGACATGCTTTTTTCGAATTTATTTTTTTACATTTTCGGAATCTAGGGACTGCGTAGATAATGTTAAAAAAAAATATCATAACGATCGCTTGAAAAGTGGATTAAATATGGTCATTTTACCAAAAATGGCCAAAAACCTCAAAATTAGTCGCTTGGGGTGTTTGTATGTCCTCTTTTTTTTCCGTAGTTTTTGAAAAAACATTTTTTTTGTAATTTTTATTGAAAGAAGATGAAAAACTGAGAATATATGTGCTTTTGAAATTTTCGATTTCGTCTCCCATATCTCTTGGGCCTGGGGTCGAACATTTTTGGGAGGCCCTTTTTGAGTTTTTCATCAATTGGATATTTTTCTGGCCATCTGAAAGGTAATTCAATGATTTATACGTCGTTGGAAAGGTACAAGACTCACCTTTCCGAATCCAAAGTCAGAATGGAAAAATTTTCAAAAATGTCCACGAGGTGGCGTGTTGTGTGACATTTTCGGCGAAAAATGACCATGAATTTTTTTACGTAATCCAAATTTTAAAAAAAATGTGTCTATGAAAAAAATCAAAAAACTAGGGGTTTGTTGGGGACCAAATATGTGATGATTTGGCGTATGTGTCATATCTGGGAAAATTCGTTTTAAAAAAAAATCGCATCCCGAAGTTGAAATTTTTTTTCGGGCAATTTTCTATTTTTCGGCCATTTTTGATCACATGTAGATGGGGTATTTCTCAATAAAATAACGGCAATTCTTAGCTTATTGGAAAGACATTAAGGTCATCTTGATGAAGCAATAAAGAAATTTTGAAAAAAAATCAGCGTAAAAGGTTAGAACAGATTGACTAGACCTCGAAAAATGGGGAAAAATCGATAAAAATCGAAGTTAATCGTCATTTATCTCGAAAAAATGTATGACTGGCTTGGCTTTTTCCCTCATAAATCTAAAGGGCACTCAATTTTGAGCCGGCATGAACATTTTTAAGAACCAATATGTTTTATTTGGTGAAAATAAGAAAAAGTTTGAACTTAAGCGATCACCTTAATATTTTAATATCTTAGTAATCCACTGTAATGTGTTAGGTTTTTACTTTGTTGATCCACTTTGACAACTGATTTTACATAGTTCGGACCCGAGGAATTCAACTGTGGTAACCATTTTGAGAAATTAGTTCAATTTTTTGAGATTAATCGGCTTGAAACCTTTCTTTTGGAATAATATTTCGGAAAAAAATGGTTTTTAGTCGATTGCTATGAAAATTGGTATTTGGGGGCTTTTTTATACGAGAAAACCGAATATGACATTTATTTTGCGGTAGAATTCGTACATGGTACATTTCCTATAAAAAAATCTTCATCTCTTGCCATTTTGAACATATTAACGGTAACCAAAATACTATCAAAACTATTGATATAAGTAAAAAACACTTCTTTCGAAGTTCCCAGTGTGACGCAATACTGTAAATCTAAAAATGGTCTGATATAAATTTTCAGTGACGCGTTCGCTCAAATATGTACAAAATGTTATTATTGCGTCGCCTCTAAAATGCAAACACAAAATGATTGACATGTCTAAAAGTTAGAACAGAGCGTTTTTATTTTTGAAGAACTTATGTTTCACTTTGAACAAAAAATCTGCTGTTATTTACTCTAAAGCAATTATTTTCAATTTTATTTATTTGTAATATGTCCATAAAAAATACTAAGCCGCTGCAAGTATATACAATTTAAAATAAATGGGAAAACGGTTTAGTATTTTTACATAGAGTGTATGTTTCCATATTTTTTTGCGGCGAAAGAGGCGACGCAATAATAACATTTTGTACATATTTGAGCGAACGCGTCACTGAAAATTTATATCAGACCATTTTTAGATTTACAGTATTGCGTCACACTGGGAACTTCGAAAGAAGTGTTTTTTACTTATATACTTAATGGTTAAATTGTCGGTGGTTTCGTATGTTTATCTATTACAGTATTGTTTTAGCTACTTCTACAATCATAAAATATGGTGAGAACAATGAACTTTGATTACAGCAAATTATTTCATTTTAACCGCAGCAATTTCGAGTGATACGAAGACGCACTTGTTTGCCAGCTTCAGGATAATCCTGTGAAAACACAATCGATTAAATAATCTTGAATACTCAATAAATTGTCACACACAAAATTGTCTCCATTAGTGAAAAAAACGATTAATTCTGTATAATTTTCTTACCGAATCCAATTTGGTCAGGAGATTGTTCATGGAAAGTCCAGTATTGAACACTTCTCTGGCGACGCACCTACACGCACAAGAAATTACAAAAAGATAAATATTTTTCATTTTGGTAATTTTTCACTTTTTTTTTACTCAAAAACAACAACTTACGTTTGAACTTGAAAACCTTGATACTTGAGACACAAAAATAAATTGCCAATGCTTGTTTGAAGCTGTTGTTCAACGTTACGCCACACTGGTTGGCACTGGTATTCATTGACGACTCCGTCTATGGTGTCTGTTACACATTGAACTTTTGCAGCGATACCCTTTCTACCCGTCGTTGGTCCGAATTTGAGAGCTCTCGCATCGATGCCATCAGATGATTCGACTAGTTGATCTGCTGAGACCCCAACAATTGCCAAACAACTAACGATGAAAATAATGCTCTGCATTTTGATTCAAGTGCTCTTTCGTTTCAGAAAACAGAAATATACTAGGTATATTCTTCTAATGAGATGATTTCAACTAAACTGCTTAATCAATGCCATTTTCACTTGAATTTATACGAAAAGGGTCCAGATTTTATCACAAAATCATATGATATAAGTCTGAAGTAATAACTTACATAAAAGTCAAGTATATGTTGAAAGAACTGTTGAAAAAATAGAGCAAACGAAGGTGATATCGCGGTATTGTATTGCGTGAAATTAAACATGTTGCTGTCATTCGGCACGTAGAACATTTTTTTAAAAAATTGGTTAATCCACATAAGATACGAAATATATCCACATGAATGGGGGCCTGGCGTTATCAGCTACCATGTTGCAATGCATTCTTATTCGGAACAAATGATTTGAAGCAGACAAAATGAGCACATCATTTTTATAGATCATTTGATCTTGTACTTCCTCTGTTTGCAAACGGTTGGCGACAGACGGTTGCAAACAGACAGTGAAGAAATATCGTTTGAATGAATTTTATTATATAACATCGTGGTTAACATTAAGTAAGCGCATGGATGATATCGTGCATGTCATAATAATATTCATATATTTTGACTCTTTAACTTGAGGGTGTCGGAGAATATAATTTAGCGACTTAAATTGCATCTCCTCTATGGTCTAGTGGCTAGGATATCTCGCTCTCACCGAGAAGGCCCGGGTTCGATTCCCGGTAGGGGAATTTTTTTTTATTTCTTGTAATTTTTTGTTTTTTTTTTCTTATAAAAATTTCTTATTTTTTGTAATTAGATTCATTACATTCATTACTTCTTTATGACCTTCAAAATCCATTTAACGTAAATTTGGAAACAATCGATTCAATCTCTTCAACTCGTCTCCCAAATTATAAGAAAAAAATCGAACTTTTTCAACATTTTTGAAATTTGCTTCCAATGCGATTAATGTATTTTCCAAACGGTGAGAAAAATGATTACAACCTCGTCCTTGCAATATTTATTGATGAAGTGATTTACAATGCATTAATACTTGAAGGGAATAATAATAATAAAACTTGATCGTTCGAAACAAAAACACCGCCTTTTTCTGCTGGACCGAGAAATTCCAATTTAACCGATTTGTTTGTGACTATCGTATCGTTTCTCAACCGTTTATTTGTCTGAGGCTATCAGGTGAAAGATCGTCAAATTATATTTTAATGAAATTATTGCAAATAAAAACTGATATTTCTTCGTCAGGAACATGCTTAACGGAATCATCAACAAAACTTGAGATAAGATCGAACGAATTCATTTTTTTGGTTCACTTCTTTCTTCTATAAAAAAGATTTTTTTTTTTATTATTTTTTACTTCGAAAAAGAAAGAAATAATAATTCTTTTGAAAATTATGCGATTTCAAATGACAAATGCTTTGGCTTGGAAAATGCAAAGGGACAATTAATTGTTATTGCATTATTAGGATCTTTGAGAATTCGGTGCGGTCTTACATTTTATTTTTGCTAATACAAACCTATCAAATTTTTCTAATGACAACCTCTGTTGTTTTATGTGTACTTATTTCTGAATAAGCGTAACACAAAAACTTTAACACAAAAAAGGGTTTTCACTGCATTATAATATTCAACATTTCTTTACAGATAAGTTCAATTTGGAAATGAGAAAGTCTTTTATATAGGTAGAAAAATATGATTTTCCGTTAGATCCTTGAAAATGGTACTTTTGTTTAAAATCATTTGGATGTCATTTGCTAATTACTTACAAAGAAAAATAATTATTGATTACAGCGCCTCCACAAAAGTATGAACATCTTTGCAAGTACACCAAATGAGGTAATTAACCACTTAATGAACATTGGATCATTAAGACATTAATGGAGTCAAAGTGGGTATAAATACCAGGATTTTGCTTGATCCAAAACATTCTACTCGTGTTTTTCGTCAGAGCAATACTTAACTACAAATTGTGATCGAAACCAATTCTTTTCCTCTCAAGTTTTAAGTAAAATCAATTTTAAAAGGTAAGTTCCAAAGTTGTTTGACATTTTCTTGTCGATAGAAAGAGTAACGCCCCATTTGAGTAAAAACTAAGAAATAAACTAGTAGAATAGTATGCACTTTTGGCCGCCATTTTTAATTTAAAAATTGCGACCAAAAGTGCATACTTTCAGGCGCATAATTTTAAACTTTGTACAAAGCTTAAAATTATGCGCCTAAATTCAAAAGATCGCTAGAGGAAAAAGTTTTACCTAAATTCAAAAGATCTCTAGAAAAAAGCTAATTCATGAAATTAAAACCATTTCAGATTTTTTTTTTATTCGAAATTGTTGAAATGAATCTTTATTATTTTTTCAGTATCATTCATTCATTTATTGGACAATTTTCATACTTTATCGGCATTTTCACCGTCTTCACTTGAATCAGATATTTTTCTGATTCTATTGCGTTTGGGGGGGTTAATAACAACGTCTTCGTCATCATCTTCTTCTTCTTCTTCATTTTCTGCATTGTCATCATCGGATTCAATAACAACGGCTTTCGTTTCATTTTTTTCTCCATCCGATTTTACTTCGCCGTTTTCCTGTTCAATGGTCGTTTTACTTATGTCAGCTGATTGCTGACTTTGCTCAGTTGGCTCATTCGCTTTCACTGGTTCGGCAATAATTTCTTGTGTTTTTTTTTGCTTTTTTTGTATATTTACGTGGTGCTGGGTTTGAATTCTTGCGTTTTTTCGGCATATTAAGGTGTTTCTCTTCTTTGTATCTTTCTACGGCATGTTCAATCAATTCTGGGAAATTGACAAATATTTCGCATGCCAAGGGACTACATGCAGTTTCGTCGTCTACACCTGCATTGCCGTGTTCATGAATATACCAAAGGAACGTTTCGAATTCACTTTCAAGGGCTAATGCACGTGTTTTTTTCATATGATATAATTTAAATACGAATTGTTCCTTTTGTAGTAATTCTTGTGCAGTATTGAGCCCCAACACAGCTGATTTCATCGTCGTACAATGGGTGATTTTAATGCACGGTGTGTTCCCAAATGAAACGCTCATTACAATGAATGGCATTTTTTCATTTGATTCAGGATAATTACTGCGCGTGTCGGTAGCCATAAATTGACATTCCGAATTCTCTCGAATAGCTTTAAACAACGCTAACATCTCTTCCTCGCCGTCTAAGAGCAATGGTGCCATTCCGTTTCCGCATAACATAACGGATGAAGCAAACCCCGGACCACCAATGAGTTTAGCACCAGGTATTACACCAATTGAAAGCCATTTCGAATTTGATTTATTCAAAAAAAATCTGGATTCCTCTAACATACGATTTCGCGTGAGTGTTTCAAAAGAAACGGATGGAGTCATTGGCATATTCTGTAAAAAAATTGAAATTCCCCAAAGTCAATAAATATGTAAAAAAATAGAGAATACATAAAAAATAGAGACTGATTACATACCATTGCTTGATGCATTCCGCTCATATGTCCATTTCCGCTAATTTGATTCATCATTTGGGGGGTGGGATTAAATGGATTCATCATTTGGCTCATCATTTGTCCGTTTCCATAGCCATTAAATGGGCTCATCATCATTTGCTGCGATGGTAAATTCCGCGAAAATGATCGGGATGGAGCTGAATAGTAAAACCCATTCCCTTGTCCATTAAACTGTCCATAGCCTGATGCATTATAGGGCTAACAAAGAAAAATAATAATAATTATTTCTTGCCGTTTTTTCAAAATCACAGAAAAAAAATTGAAAACTATCACTTCAGATTCGTTGTATTACAAAAATTGAAAACTATCACTTTAGATTCGTTGTATTACAAAAATTGAAAACTATCACTTCAGATTCGTTGTATTACAAAAATTGAAAACTATCACTTCAGATTCGTTGTATTACAAAATTGAAAAGTATCACTTCAGATTCGTTGTATTACAAAAATTGAAAACTATCACTTCAGATTCGTTGTATTACAAAAATTGAAAACTATCTCGTCAAATTTACACTTTTTTTTTTACTTTTAACATCACTTACCATTTGGATAGGTTTGCTGAAAGCGATATTGAATTTATGAGACATTTTTGCTGCGAACACGTTGAAGCTCAAAAACGAAGTGGCTTGAATGTAATTTAATTTCAATTAATCTACTTCCGCTAAAATGCTTAGAATAACAAAACTTAAATTTTTTTCAGTTTTGTTATGAAAAATGTCCCATTGCAGTTTTGATATGTAACCTTTTTGTACGAGCTATTAACTTGATTACAAAATCTGCCAAATTGCAGTTTTTACTTGCACATACTTTCTGTAATTCTATACCCCCGTCGAATATGGTCACTTTAGTTATATTCATCAAAGTGAATACTTCGAATTTAAATCAATAATTCAATATATTCAACAATGTCCGAAGAAGATTTTATTGGTAAAATTGTGAATAGTGATCCATTTTTTGGTCTAATATCCTATAGTGAAGTGAATGAAGAAAATAATGAACTATCATTCGGCCAATCGTCGACTGAATTGAGCGTAAGTAAATTTAATATTTTGTTTCATATTTTACTGTATTTTTCATGATTTTCACTTCATGATCTTTTAGTTTGATCATAATATGGACTTGTTGCATGAAACAAGCATCGTGTTGCATGAAACAAACTCATTACTTGAAATGCTTGATTCGGATCCATTTTTTGGTGCAATTTCGTACGATGATGATTTGAATAGCCTTGAAATTCCAAACATGAATGACGTAGTCATTGAAGAGAATATTGAATTGCCTGAATTTACCGTAAGTTTTAAGTTTTTTGTTTCAATGTAGTAGGCTTGTCGGATTTTTTTTCATTTCATTTCATTTCATAATTTTTAGGAAGACCATAATATGGAACTGATGCATGAAAACAATAATGAACACTCGTCGTCGGCATCTGAATTTAGCGTA